TTGCAGAGTGTGAAATAAAAGACTGACATGTATTAGCTGTATTGGTGAGGTCATGACTTAAAATAGATTATGTTTATGTCAAAATGCTTGTATGAATTTGTTGGATTTGTTTACACAATGTCAACAGAACATTTTTTGTTCAATATCATTTCTGAAAAATTGTTGTTTCCCTTTCCACCTCTTGGGAGGGCAGAGAAAACCTCCCTTTAATGCGCCCGGGCGGCCCCCCCCCCCCCTTCCAACACTGGTGACATGGTCCATCTGCCCTTTAGTGCCACAGCTAGAACACTGGTGACATGTTCCATCTGTTGGGGTGTGCTGTACGTTATTTCACTATTTCTGCTATTTTGAGAGGGTTTATTGGATTTGTAAGACCCATCCTACTACAACTGATTGAACCTGAGATCAATTTCTTTACAAGGTCAGCGGTGAACATCCAGTCTATTATGATTGATGTTCCCCCTGCCAGTGATGTGAAGATGTAAATTGATGCCAAGGTTTTTTTGTTGTTTTTTTTTTTTTACAGACTCCTTACGGGGACCTTCAAGGATCTGTTATTCCTAGTTTAAAAACCACTGAGTTAGATCAAGTATGTTTAAAATGGCTAGCACTGTCTGTAAAAAAAAATGCACCTTTACCAAGTTCTTAATACTCAAGCTTTAGAAAATAAATACACTGTGTCCATTATTTTGGACCCTTATGTGTCATGTTAAGAATAGTAACTATCCATAGTACTAGTGAATCATCTACTTTCTCATTATGATAAAATACTGCTATTGAATGTTGATAGCTGTTATTATTTATGTCCCCAAAGTGTTGTGTAATTTAAAAAAAAAACCAAACCAGACCAAATGGTGCGGCCCAGCAGCGCGCGCCCGCCCCCCCGCCAATCAAATGATAAAACTGTTGACTGCGTTTACTGATGGTATTTTCCTGTGAACTGCAGAGCAATTATGTACTGAGTTGCCTTCATCTTTGTGGACCTGAAAATTCTGAGGAATGGTGTCCAGCTTAGTTTTTGAACTTGGTTCCATTTTTTAAATATCATGAATTTATTTTATGTCATTTTATTGGAAAGCTAATTGGTGAAAAATTGAAATGTTCATTACCATGAGAGAGGTAATATACTAAAAATAAGTTGACTGACCATGATAAGAAGTAAAATAAAATCATAGCAAATGTTAATGAAAAAATTGGTTGGGAAAAAAAACAATATTTTGTGTGTCTACTGAGGACACAGTGTATCAAAGGTTCAATAAGGTATACATGCTGCTCATTTTTGAACAGACACATACTGTAGATATGCTATTGTTGGCAGAGTCTGTAAATAAGATGTCGGGCTATTTCAAATATCTATGTTTTTAATCAATTGTAATAGCTCTTCCAAAACTAAATTGTATTGATATTATGACCTATAACTGAACTAGTTTGAAAATGTCCACTATGAATTTAATTAATGAATTTTTGTTAATAACAAGATCATTGGAGAAAAATCTCAGGTTAGATTTGATTCAGAAATAAAGTCAGTAATTTTAGGATTTTATACATTATTAAATGTGATCTGTTTGCAATCATGAATATGTTCCTGAAAATACAGAACCTGTATTAAGTTTCCTGACAATGCCCTGAAAAGCCTGTGCTATTAAATAAAGATATTGTATAATGATGAAATGCCTATAACGCTATTGTACTGTAACTTTTATCTAATACTATGACCTTCTTAATCAATTTTAAATATTAAACCATGTCAATAATTATACTATCATGTTTTTAAAACACTTTTAAAATAGTGTTGTCATTTTGTGTTCTCTTGTAGTACTGATTTGCCAAGATGTGTGGGTATTTTTTTACTTGTTGGCTTTTCAACATTTTTAATCCCTTCATGTAAAAGTAAACATGAGTCTAAATTGGAATCTTCACACACCCCACCCACAAAAGGTCATACACAAACACTCAAACCTTTAGTGTTGCATAAGGTTGGTAATGAAGTGTCCTATACTGGGAAGATAAACAGTAACATTTTAAAAACATACTGACAGATATCCCTAGGGGTCGAGTCCTAGAAAAAGTGTGGGAACTCACTGAAGATTCCCTTCTCTTTAGCAAAGAAAAAAGAAGTACATGAGGTCCTGCAGGACTTGAGCCCTGAATGAATCCTTGTATAGATCTTTTTTTTTTTTTCCCTAAATTTTGGTGGGCATACCAGAAAACTATGGCACACACAATAAGGTTGTCTACCCCAGATCTAAAAGGACAATGGTGCTTAGCAGTCTAAATGAAGACGACATCAATAAAATAATTCTCTTTAGTTTGCTATTTTATGTTAGAGGTCCTGGAAAGCCATTTTAAAATTATATTTGCTAAGAAAATACTTGAGCAGTAGGCAGGGCAGAATTTAATGGCCTTAATGAGTATTATCTGCTGTATTAGATAAGTATGTTATTTTCTTCTGTAAAGGTATAAAAAAAGGTTATATTTCTGTGGGGATTATATATAACTCATATCACACTCACTAAGAAAATATCTCAATGTGGATTGAGCTTATTAATGATGGCTCTATATTTAGCCCCTCTTCCCTCATGTTTTAAAATAAAAATTTTTGCCTACAGTGGCACATTGAATTTTTCTGGGTTATATTAAGAATTCCTTTACAATAAAGTTTGGAAAATGCTAATCAAAGTCATCAAACTCAAGGTCACTTTAGGAACAGAGGAATTAACGTAAATGTTTTCAGTTTGTTGATTACTTTCAAACTCTTTTAAAAATAGCAGGTTGTTGAAGAAGAACAAATGGGTAATTAAGGGACCTATGTATCTATGGTTGGCACATGGGATGGGGGTGTTCCTATAAAAAATAAATAGACTATTTTTCTCTTAATTATATTTAAATAAACTAATATTATTCTATGATTAAAAAAAAACAACAAAATGCCAGAGAAAAATTTGAATTTTTGTTTATTAACAGCACATGCACTCATAATTTATTTAAATATTTGGCAAATAAAAACACTAATGTAAAAGATAGAAAAATTATATATCAATTGTTCATAGTTGAAATGTGTAGATCATATTTCCAATTCTGCACTTCTAAAAACATGCACTCAAAGCATTTTGGGGCCGTCCATTAATTATGTCAAACAATTTTAGGAAATTTTTGACCCGCTCCCTTAACTGTCCAAAACAACCCCCCTCCCCTTTCTTTTGACATAATACATGGACAGCCCCATTCCTGCAAAAAGGTTAGGCTTCATAAATTAAAGTTTTAGGAATTCTTGATGTAATTCAGTAATGCTATGTCCTAATGCTGATTGGTAAAGCTCCATCAAAAGAATGGTGCATTCTGAATTAGGCTTATCCAAACAAATACATTTCCCTCAATGCAGAATTACCAATCAATCCATTTTTTTCCAATTCTTATTTTCACGTAAGCTCAAAAATTGTATGCATGTACTATGTACTTGATCAAGTAATTGAGCTTCAAGAGTTAAAGTAATACCAACAAACAGCAAATTACATTAACTTAATTAGAAAGACAAATGGCCTTGTGATGCAAGCAGCAAAACAATGCAATGAGCAACAACAACTTGCAATAAAATTTGGGAAATCATTCAAACGTTTTTTGTTTTTTTTAAATGTAATTATCTAAAAAGAGTTAATGAACTAAAAGAAAATTAACATTTGTGAATATAATACTCAACAAAATGCTTCCTCCCGAAAATGTTTCTGGCAGTAATGAATAAACTGATTTAAATATAATTTATGATTGCTTCATACATTTTTAATATTAGTATGCATTAAAATTTATTCCAGAAAAGAAAACAAATATAACAACAGTGCAAAAGAAAGCCAGAAATTTTCATGAAGAGTTAACAATAATTATACAGGAAAGAGTCTATTTTATTGTCGTTCAATTTATTCTCAACTTATTTTTAGGCTTTTGATCACGCAATTTATTTAAGACTTTCACAAAGTCATGATATTGCTCCATGATGATGGTAGATATTTTCTATTGCCATGACAGCCATAAAAAAATTAAAAAATTGATTTGTGAAGATTATTATATTAAATATTTCCTTCTATGTGACACAGAATAGAGTCACGCTTGCTTGCTTTGCCCTCTGGGCTGCAAAACAATGCTATGCTACTTGTGCCTCTGTACTGACGATTTTGCTTCATGAAAAATTCATTAAATGCAATCGTTCTTGCTGAAATCAAATTATATATTTAAAGAAAAGGGGTCAAAGCGGTAAACACAAACTCAAAAAACCCACATTAACAATTTTAATATAATAATATTATATTAAAATCTCGCCAAATTAAATTAACATCTTTAAGATAAAAATTCAGCCATGTACAAGTAGATGAAATCAAGAAAGGTTAAGAGAAGATTGTAAATAGTGCAATCACATAACTTCAATATCATTCATAAGTTAATTATTTTTACATCTAATTTAATTGGAATTTATATTGAAAACAATTAATAAATAATAAGTAATTAAAAAAAACAACAAACAAAGCTTTTTTTTTTAAATAGATATAACAGGAAAATACATAATGACATTTCTTTTATTGGACAGTAATAAATTTTATTTGGAAATTTAGTGAATAGTTATGTTGAATTAAACACAAAAGAAGAATCTATGGGCTTTTAAAATTATTCCTTTTGAATTTACTTTTTGCAAACAAGAAACAAGAATTATACAAGTTCTTGTTTTATAAGCTCTTATTTATACAAGCTCTTATTTAAACAAGCTATTGTTTTATACGCTCTTATTAATTTATACAAGCTCTTATTTCTACAAGATCTTAATTGCACAAGCTATTATTTATACAAGCTCTTGTATACATGCTCTAATTTATACAAGCTCTTGTTTACATGATCTTATTTATACAAGCTCTTGTTTACATGCTCTTATTTATAAAAGCTCTTGTTTACATGCTCTTATTTATACAAGCTCTTGTTTACATGCTCTAATTTATACAAGCTCTTGTTTACATGCTCTTATTTATGCAAGCTCTTGTTGACACAAGGTCTTGTTTGTTAAAGTTATTATTTATACAAGCTTTCACTTGTACATGCTATTATTTATACAAGATCTTCATTGCACAAGTTCTTATTTACAAGATCTTGTTTTACTTCAAATAGTTTAAAACATAAAAAAAGATAATGAAATTATTTTCCTTGTAAAATAATCAAATCTTTTAATAAATTATTAGTACTTACTTCTCAAACAAAATTTCATTTTTAAATAGCATTAGCTTTAGATAATAAGATCCCATATGAGAGACTTCATAAAAAATTAATTGCATATCTTAACATTTATCTGAGCTCTGTCATGGCACTGGATGTAAGCAAATGGCAATTACATTTTTTTTTTTTAAAGTTCATTAATTTCTTCAAAGACTGAAAGCAAAAATTAACATATTCACATAACCCTTGAGCAATGATGACAAGAATATTAAAATAATTAGTTTTTTTTAAAGCACAAACTTTCTGTGTTCAGATGAAAGTGAGAAATTATTACTGTACAGCTGTTAAGCAATTCTCTTAAAATTAATCCACAAAACATTTTTGCTTCTGGGTTTGAAATTTCACAACTTATATTTACATAATTGTGAAAGGGAGGATCCACAGTCAAAGCCCACCTTTAAACTAAGCTGCGAACTAAATTTTAACTCTGTTGAGTTTTTCTACCCAGAGGTAATAAGCATTTGAATGTAATTTCGAATCCAATAAATACAAGTAAAACGGACACTTCACCCAAAATAAGTTAGCAGAAGGTTAGTAAAAAGCAATTACTTGATATACAAAGTAAGTTTTTAATCACCATTATCATTAAATCAATCTATACATAAGGTCTTGGTTCATGTAGTACTGCTACTTGAGGTGTGATAGGGGGAGTGTGCGGTGACAGTGACATATATTCTGAGCTACTGACAAGGTGATGAATCAACCTGCGTGACACATGATAGGGCTGACTTCCCTCTAAATGGGACAAAACCATGATGACTTGCCTGGCGATAGAAAAAAACAACAAAAAAAGTGTAAGAAAGTTTCATGGCCAGTTCTATCATTTCCTTTTTACTTTGAGTTCTGTCACAGAATTCTGTGAACTTCCATCAGCTGAGTTCACCTTTATGTCCCTCTTTGTCAGAATTTTTAGTTGAAAGATTCTTTTTTTTTTGTTTTGCGATCTTCCAGGTTTTCACATACTATGAAAATATGTTATAAGTCCTATGTGAATTTGCAAGCCCTTTATTAATTTATTAGGTAAGTCCATATGGTATTGTTAAAAAATATAACAGATAGACTATCCAAACTAACTGCCAGGAAAAAAAAAAGAGTATATTAAATTAAGATCAGGGGTCCCAAACACCCGGCCGCAAGATGACATTTTGTGGCCCGTACATGACTGCAAAGTTTAATGTTAATGCGGCCAGCGGGTTTTCCCCATTCTCATTTCTATAATGAGACCCTCCGCAACGGTTTCAGTCGAATCTCATTGATTAGTCTTGTTCTGATTTTTATTATGTTTGTATATATTTGGACGATGATTATAATGGTAAAAACCATTTGAAAATCAGACTAAAAGTTTTTATTTTATAACATTTTATGAGACAAACATGGCCAAAGTGTGGTTTTGAGAAAGGTTTAAAAAGTCAGTTGATGGGTAATGCACAACCATAATTGAGTAAATCTTAGCAATCGGATACAGTATCAAAGAATCCATATTAAAATTGCTGCTAGTGTTTACGAGTGAGGGTAATTCCATGCCTGTCAGCTTGGCCACTTTCAAAATAGGCTTAGTCAAAAAGGTCTTTTCTGCGATAAAAAAAATCAAAATTCATTCTCCCTACAATAGCATCTTCCTTCGCGTCAATAATTCATAAATATAGCCTGCTCCTGCCTACTGTTTGAACAAGTTTTAGCCTTCAAAGCCTTCGTGGAGAAGGATGGGGTGGTTGTTCCTGTACTAAGTGATCCCAAATGGCTCATGGACTTGGCTTTTCTTGTTGACACTACACAGGAGATGAATGTACTCAACAAAAAGTTACAAGACCAGGGGTAGCTTGTCAGTGTTGCCTATGACAATGTCAGCGCATTCTGCACAAAACTTGTGTTAAGGTTCTTTGAGAAACCTCTGCCATTTCCCAACATGCAAAGTACTCATGGACTCGGGCACACCATTCACTAGTAACTTAGTAGTAAGTAAACTGATGCCATTGCAAAGCTACAGGAAGAATTTGATCCTATGTTTTTAGACTGCAAAACACACAGGGTCACTTTTCAACTTTTTGCTGACCCTTTCTCCTTCAATGTGGAAGTCCCTCCCCCCCCCCCACTCTCTCTCTTTTGTGCTTCAAATGGAGCTGATTGATCTTCAGTGCAATTCTAAGTTCAGGGAGGTGAATGGAAACTTTGATCCTATGTTTTTATACTGCAAAACACACAGGGTCACTTTTCAACTTTTTGCTGACCCTTTCTTCTTCAATGTGGAAGTCCCTCCCCCCCCCCCACTCTCTCTCTTTTGTGCTTCAAATGGAGCTGATTGATCTTCAGTGCAATTCTAAGTTCAGGGAGGTGAATGGAAAAACAAACAAGAATGGACAATTTATGAGAGCATTGCTCTCCACCTCCACTGAGATTTCCAAGTTGTTCAAGCAGATCATGCATGCCTTTTTAGGGGTACCTATCTGTGTGAAAAGCTCTTTTCCACTATGAACTTCAACAAGTCAAAGTTCAGGGCCAAACTTACTGATGACCATCTTCAAGCTATATTGAGGGTCTCAGTTGCTTCCTCGCTGAAGCCAAATTTTGCTCAGCTGTGTAAGAAGAAGCGCTGCGACATCTCCGGCAACAAAGACTAGGAGGAAGAAAGTGAAGCCTAGCTCTTGAGTACCCTTAATGTTTTTATTCGTGCAGATTGTAACAGTTGTACTTTACTGATTTTGTAATCGCTTTTTTGTTGAATACTTGATGCGGCCCAGTCACAATCAGATTCTACCTCCTGCAGCCCCCGAATGATTAGAGTTTGAGATCCCTGATTTAGATTGTCTTTCTTTCAGAACAAGACATGGCTCTTTGGTGACCCAGGCTGGGAGCCACAATTAAACGACAAAATCAAATGAATTTGGTGAATTGACATATACCTAACTGTGTTTTGAGGGGATGACATCTGTTGTCTGCAGTGTCATCGCCTCCCCCCCCACCACCACACCCCCCCACCCCATCGACTCAATGTTAGAACTCTCCTTGCAGCAATCAGACACAATGTGAAATGAAATGTACTGACCTGTGGTATGGGGGGATGACATCTGTTGTCTGCAGTGTCCCCCGGGTGGACACAACGTTGGAGCTCTCCTTGCAGTCAGACAACACGTGTATACAATGTGACGGCAGGCGGTTCTCCACAACAAATATGCACCCAGCCCACCTCTTCATCAGCGTGTAGGCTGTGACCCCTTGACGTAGCTGTAGACCAATTCATTGGTGTATCATATAAAAAGTTGTACTATTTCTCACTCTCTGTATTACTTGAAGTTCTTAACGCCTTCATAAAACAGGCGGTTCATGTGATAGTCAGAACTTTAAAATCAAGCCCAAGTCTTTTCCAAACATGAAGCTTCACATAAGGGGCATTGAGATAATTTACTATAACTATAATTTGCTTATAAACAAACACACACAAAAAACACATGAAGAAAATATAAAAATAGGAAAGTTTTACAGTGTAATGGGAGGTAAATACAAAGTTTTTTCATTATGCTTCATAAAATATTGTAATGTAATTACAATTACCAAGGACACAATGGTTTATGTTGAACATTTTCCGTGTCAGAAAAAAGCCTCTAATTCTTCGATTGGCAAAATAGTTAGGTACCGATCTCTATTATTAAATAGAGCTCTAAATATTCCATTGCATGACAATATACAGAACATTAAATGTGACAGACTCTAATTGTGTCATTCCACAACATAAAATACTTCTTCCTTGCTCCCTTTAGCAACAGCAAGTTGTATCATGGCATCAGCCAGCAGGTACGGCCTGTCACATACACTTTCAGACACCATCAGTTTCTTAGAACTGTGAATGGATACCACATGCTTTGGTGGCCTCAGGCTTGACACATCTGGAGAGTACACATTAAAAGAACTGAAACATTCTGTTTGAGAAAACATTTTTCTAAAAGGCACACACTTAAATCTTGAATGGCTGAGAAAAAAAACAGAAAACAGAGACTCGTTCATCTTCCCCCTAGACAGCGACGAGGTCATGATAGACAGTTCTGGCTGGTAAAAACAAGAACAAAGTACAGGAGCTCCTCATTCCTGCCGAAGGCAATAGGGGACTGGAATAAGCTTCCAAAAGCAACAGTTGAGGCGGCTACACTCCAAACATTTGTGTCTATTGCCTCCTGTATTCCAACCCCCAGTTCGTAATACCACTGCTGAGTAGCTCTTGTAACCAGTGAAGTATCCCCTTGAAAACCATGCACAGTAACATCGCGAACCCCTCTGAAACAGAGGAGTCAGAATGATCAATACATTGATCCTGGGGCCTCTTTTATTTTATTTAAGCATCAGCTTGGAGAATTGACCGATAAGGGTGTGATCACTGCAAATATCCTTTGCACTAGGATTTATAAGTGTACTACCTTACAGATAGGAATCATTAGTAAAACTGGTAGGCACTAATCAAACATTTTAAAAAATTTTATACTGGTATTGATAGATATATTAAAACATTATTTCATCACTAAAAAGTATTTAAAAAGTATACCTTCATTTTTCCACTGGTTAAAAGCCATTGGCACCAGGATGTATTCACCAGGAGAAAGCATATGATTACATCCCACAAAACCACGGACCTGACGGGAACTGTGTACAACAACCTTCCCTACAGACACTTGCGCTAAGTTTTTCGACTCTTCTAGCACCACAATGCACAAGTCCAACGGCGAATGAGAGCCGACATCATGCCTGTTGCACAAGGAGACAAAAAATAAAGTGAACCAAATGTCAGCCTTTCCAAGGTGCTAAGTAGTCTGGAATTTTGCTTCCCCTGAAATTGAGATTGAATTAGAGAACTAAAAAATTGGAACTCTAAAACTTGTTCCATGACTTATATTTTCTGATATTTTGACAGAGGTCACTGAAGTAAGATTTTTATCAGAGCCGCAGTGCAGGCTCAATATTGAAGGTTGGCAGAAAAAGGTCACATAAAGCTACAAAAGTCGTACTCTTTTGGCTGAATGCCTTAAGTTATAGAAATTTTTTTAAAAAGCTGAATGGGAGATGTATGTAGATGTAGACCATGTAAAAATTTAACAATCTTAATCTGAATTCCCACCAATAATATAATAAAGCTCAAAATCTACATGGAAAAAATTCACATAGTTTTTAAATGCCATTGGCTGGGTGCCAATTCCATATGATCACCACAGATCACTACAAGTCTTGGGTTAATAAACAATATTATGAAAGTATCAAATAATTCAGAACTAGACAAATTTGAATATGCATAACTAAATGTAGAGCTCACTGACCGTGTTCCTTCCTGGAACAAACCAAGTTCAACTTCTGTTGTCTGGAACACAGTGAGTCTAATCAAAGTTGTTGGGTTTGTTCCGTTTAAGGCAAATGTTCCTTGAACTCTTTTCTCATGCCAATCAGGGCGAGTTTTACAGATGTCTATGCTGTCAAAATACCTGAAAATATATGAAATTTAAAAAATGCTACACTGCTATTCAGGATTAAAATAACTCTATCTCCCAAACAGATTTATTCTTTTAAAGATCACTAAAATGGTTAACACAGTCATTAAAAAGTAAAAGTTGATTTGGTAAATGATTCCACATAACCACGGTAAAACTTAAGATCGGCTGCCAATCTTTTGATTATCAGTACGGGTACATGGAAACTCAGAGTCTGTGGGCCGTTTGTTCAATTTGAAAGGTGATGATCCTCATTTAGGTAATGAGCTATAACCAAGGATGGTTGCAGAGTGCATGGAGGTGGTACAATGTATGGGAAGAATGAAGCCCCATCACTATTCCATCATGTACTGGTGGGATGCTGACCAAATAATACAATGATGTTCAAAATACAGATGTTGGGAAAAAGTTAGGTATATTATCTCACTAAGTCCAAAATGTAAAATGGGGTGGGGGTGATCTTTGTAAATCCAACTTGGCATTTTTCTACTGATCAAGAATAATTACTAAACCGAAATTCCCTTCCCGGGGGAGGGGGGGGGGAGAAACATTGTGCTAGTCTGGAATGATCCTAGAATGTAGCTCTTTATGATATGGTTAAAATTAAACTCTTTCTCTTGAATCTTTTCAGCATCCATTTGTCAGTTTTTACACACTCTTTCATTGATGTTTGTCAATGTGTGTGAGTCCTCTAAATATTTTGACAATTACATTATACAAATGTATTTGATAACTCCTTTAGGATGAATAATTATTGCAGCTAAACCCAATATCAACCTAATAAGAAAACCCAGACCAAACTCAAAAGAAAACTCAGACCAACCTGATTAGAAAATCCAAGAAAAACCCCATAAGACAACCCAAGACCAACCTCATGAAAATCCCAACACCAACATCATAAGAAGACCCAAGACCAACCTCAAAGACAACCCAAGACCAACCTCATGATATCAGAAAACTCCATCCAGAAAACTCCCTGCTCTTCACCTATTGCCATCAGTTTTGTACGTCCTTCTTCAGATACAGTTTGCCAAGACGAGGATTCGTCACTCCAGTTTCCTGTCCACGAGTAACGTCCCCAAGGATTCCTTAGTCTAACAAGCCTAGCCATAGAGATAAATGATCTTATTCATTGCTTAATACAATGATTGTATTTTCTAAAATATTAACTCATTGATGGCCTGCCAGTGATTCTTTAAACGAAATCTAATACTTAAAATACAAATATTGCTAGTGAGTTGCACATAATCCAAAAATGCAAATTTTCAGAACATCCCATAACTCAACAAGGTGATAAAATAGAACAAGTTTCTCTTCAAATTCTCATTTTGTTAAAATTTTTAGGTAAATATATGAATTCCTTGCAAAGAATTGTAAAATTACTTGGGAATAAATGTGATACATTGACCCAATAGGGCCAGCAAACATAGCAAATGAGTGTTAATATTGATAATTCTGAAATTGTTGCACTTTCATAAACTTGACCAGTAGAGAACTCTTTTGTTATTTTTAAAAGGTTAAGGGCCTTTGACTAAGGGCAGTCTTCAGAACACTTTAATTCACATCACACACTTAATGTGAGCTTCCTTTGACATATTTTGCTGCAGTCTGTAACTTACTTGTTTCCCTCTAAATCCTGTATATCCAGGATAGAATAAGCGTGCTTGGCCCTCAAGCCAACTCGGGCAAACATTTCCTCATCTGCCTTCATGTTACCACCCCCACAGGAGGCACCCATTAGGAATCTGGAGTTTCAATAAAAATCATTTTATGGTTTGATAGTCTTGTTACTTAACTTTGACGCTGAGATTGTTTATTATTAGATATTAGTTTTTCAAGAACAAACAGAAACTGAAATATTTAACAATTTAGTTAGCATTAGTTTTCAGCTAAAAATGTACACCTTTCACTACATTTAAAGTATTATGCTTTTTTATGATCATTAGACATCATGGGGTTATAAAGAGGTTAGAGGATTGTTAATATTTTTTTTAAAAATTGTCTTAAAGGCTGCTCAACAAAGATTTTTTTAACATTAAAAAATGATCACTCCCCTAACATGTTAAGACTTGTAAGAGCTGAACCTAATTATTGTTTCTTAATAATTATACATAGATACATGAGAATGTTGCTTTAAAAGATTCTCACTTGAGGTCTCTGCAGCTCATTAGCTTGGCCCAAATCAGATCTGGACATACATCATCTCCCCTTGTACCATCATCTGAAATATGAGCAAAAGGGAGGGAATGGTTCAAGATGCCACTAAAACATAGATACCACAGAGAGAACATGTATACCCTTTAAAATCACATGTCAATGTCTCATCCTGATCATACTGATAGGTCAACACATATCCTCAATGCAATAAATAAACAACTAACGCTGAGCGTGGTGAAACAAAAAATGTCAAGCCTATTGCCTACTAAAACGTTCATAGCATGCAATCCTTTTGAAAACTGTAAAAGTCAAATTAGAGATTAAATGCTGAGAAGTATGAAGACAAGGGGAATTTGTTATGTGCTCTGATTTAAACAAATTTTCAATGATGAAAGTAGTAAACCCAATAATAGCATGGAACCACCTGAACGATGCCACTGTGAACTCGACATCGGTCGAAAGCTCCAAGGCTGCCCTGGCATCAGCTAGGGGCTGTTAGAATAGCAACATCATATCCCCAACCGTTGCAAAGATGCCAGTTCATGGATGCAGCAACGAAACATTACCGGAACCAGAACCCATGCACTGACTGTGTTTTTTTTTTTTTTTTGTATTTAAAGTTGATAAGGGCAGACATGTTGTCATGCAATATTGAAAAACATTTTTTTTTTAATCCAATGGAGATGCAGCAACGAAACATTACCGGAACCAGAACCCATGCACTGACTGTGTTTTTTTTTTTTTTTGTATTTAAAGTTGATAAGGGCAGACATGTTGTCATGCATTATTGACAAACATTTTTTTTTTAATCCAATGGATGTAAAGATGATTTACAGCTGTCGATCAAATGCCTAAGTAGTTGGTCGCAGCCATTCAAGAACGAAAATTTTAACATCCCCTTAGCTCCAATTAAATCCAAAGTAATAAAAAGCCTTAAAAAGTTTAAAAGAATATACTTACTCTGTAGTGAAATGCTTTCACATGGAGCACCTGTCAGAGTAGAGAGACCTTCAATACATTTACCACCAATCAAAGCTTCATAGCTGCCATGCAGTTTGGCCATAGCTTTTTCTATAAGAGGGACCCACAGCTGTTTTCTCCTAGCCTACAAGCAGTGCAGGATGTTAAGAAAAACTATAAGGCTGTTGTAGAGCAAACATTCTATGCACTAATAACTACACCACATATGCAGCAAACCAATTATACAATTTAACAGCTGTTTCCAACATTTTGATACAAATTGCATAATATCATAATACTGTTAGACAGAGGTTCTAAACACAGAGGTTCTAAACCTCTGGTAAGCGTACACCTTGGGGCATCACTTGGGGGTACAAAAAATTATATTGATAAAAGCTAAAAATGGCAAAACGTTTTCTTACACCAGTTCATTTATGTAAATTTTTAATAGCCACATTGGATCATTGGAATAAAACAAGAAAAACTGCTATTGTAAAGTTAATGGATAATTATTGAACTTTCTTTAAAAATTAATGTGGATTAAAAAAAAAAATTTATATTAATTTTTATTTGTAAAAAAAAAACCTAACTGTTTTAGCTTTCAAAATAGAAAATAGAAGCCTATAAGTGGCATTGACTTTATCTTCATCATTTTATTATTTACCTCAACTATTTTTAATGCTATTGTAGGAATGATTGGACGGACAAAGGAAATGGGAGGGGAGTACTCATAAATGAAAAGTCTTGTCAAGGATTACTGAAGAATAAAAAGGTTTGGAACAACAGCAAAAGAAGTGACGTGATTTTCTTTCAAAATTTATTTTCTATTCTTACACTTATAGTTACTATTATATTTTTATTCAGAAATATCAGAAATAAAGTCTTTAAGAAAAGCTTTGAAATGTGTTCATAAGAAAAAAAAAAGATTGGCACCTGCTGATTAGAAAAGGTAAATTAGAAATGCAATTACTACTGATGACATATTTCTGCAACCACAAGAAGTCTTGCTCTTATTATGAAGATCATGCTGCCAAACAACTAAAACACATATCTAGTTTCCCTGCCCTTATTTTTAATTATTAGTTAGTATATAAACTAAAAATCATTTAACAAGTAGTTCAGAAAAATTTCCCTTAAAATTTTGAACGATAAAGCTATTTTTAGTCTTTTCATCACTTAAAGTTCTACTTTCTGATTTTCTACTTCAGCTAAGAGACACATTTTTTTCCATCTTCTTTTTCTTCTTCAAACCCTTAAAGCCAAATAATCATTAGAAGAAATATTTAAATATTAATAAAAAATACAATATTTTGATGTTGCAATAAGTGGCATTATTCCATTGCCAAGTAAATCGTTAAAATATGACCTAGATATAGTTGTTTGGCATAGTTAAGTTTATAAAGTTCAAGACAAAACAGAGATATACAAGAAAAACATTCCACTGACAGCTGTCACAAATGACTCGGGTGGGGATATAGGAAAGAGCTCAGTTGTAATCAGTGCGTAAAGGTTTTGTTTTGTTCGGGACTTCCCTATGGGTCGCACCATGTTGGATAGATCATGAATGAGGGTTGGGGGCACTTCTGGCAGGGGAGAGAGGATATTAGATGCTTTTGAAAAGGTGATATTTTCTTCGATAGACAGATTTAATTGTTGTTACATCAAGAAATGAATACATATATATAATTTATACACCTGGAGTTGGAGTTTTTACGTTGTGCTTCTGTCTGTCCCAACGCATAGACACCCACAATATAATCACAGAGAGGAGCGGTCCTATATTAACCAATACTATATTAATATAGTTTGTTATTATGTCAGGACCGGAGCCCTCCTCCGCAACAACCGTTCTGTGACAACAGCATGATTAATGTCACTTAACTACAACTACCAATTTTATTCATGACATAAGATGTAAAAAAAAAAAAAAAAAAAAAAAAAAACCCACCTTTGAGAAAATTAAACATTTCTGTGCATCACAAGGCAGATAGTCATCTATAAGTACAGTCTTCCAAAGTCCATCCTTACACAGCCTAACTTGGTACACACCTTCTTTGCAAATTATTTTACTTATGACAATGTGCTCCACTAACTCACTTCGCTCTGCTAATACTGCCAGGGCACTAAAGAACCTACAAGGGAAATAAATATAATATCAGGTGCCAGGATTAGATCAACACTATATTTAAGATTTTAAAAAAGAAGTTATTTGTTGAAGCATGAGACTTGCATGTAGTAAATATACATTTGAAAAATTTTTTCTCATTCTGTTACTTCTAGTAGTTGCAAATATTTCTAACATAACCATATTACAGATTTTTTGTACTGTGTTTGCACCCGGATGGCCTAATACATTCACCTTAGTCAATTAGTTTTGCACATGCATACATAGCACTGGGATCCTTTTAAAACTAATGTTTTCTCACTTAGTCTTTCTCTCTCAACCAAGAGCCAAGATGGTGAGCCTGGTTGAACAAAAGATTAGGTAGGGGAAGACTGGCGTAATTTCTAATTTCTAACAAACATCTTGTTAAAATCCAAAAATCCATGCATCTAAACTCTAATTCTAATGAAATAATAAAAAAATTGCTGAAGATTCAAGGGTTTTGTAACAGTGCACTGCTGTGTCAATCTCAAGACAATGACAGACATGTATTTGTTACTTGTGCAGTTTTAATTAAACTGTAGAATTGTTGTTTGAATGTGAATGCAGACTTCTGTTGAGCATTTCATCCCACAATGTTTTATTTAAAAACAATAGAAAGCAAAAGACATTTTTGATGGTCTATTATAAAATGAATGAAGTTGGTCTATTATAAAATGAACACTTCATTTTAAATTTTTTAAAGACATATCACATTTTATTTTTAATATGTTGGACATGTTATCAATATCATATTACTATTCATTATCCTCAATTTAACTATTGATTGGTTATTAGGCCTTTTTCATGGTTTATCCTTTTTTATGTACATGTTTTTATCTCAGCAAGTTGATAGATATGCCATTAGATTCAAGAATGTTTTAGAAATTCCCAATAAAATGACATGAAACAAATGACAAAGCATAATTATTTATGGCTAACATACCAACAATTGCCTAAAATTCCCTGTGATATGTCTTCCGGCATTGGAGTTCTGTACACTACCCATGGTTGGTTGGTACAAGGGTTGTCATGAACAGCAATTTTATCTGCTCTATACCATTCAATTTTGTCAGTAGGGTAAAACCCATTTGTAAACTGACCTGAGCTAATCCGGAATGGTTTTTTAGGATCAATAAAAAGAGATTTTTGAGCTGGTGGGAAGGAATCATCAACAAAATTGTCACCAGTCTGTAAAATATGCATCAATGAATTTCATTAGAAAAAAAAACTCTAATTGTCAAAAAGGTTCATAATATTATGTTTGTAAAGCCTTGAGTATACTGCATTGGAATGGACTTTATGAAATAGCCTATGGAAAATATAATACTTTGGACAGCTTGGAAAATAAATGATTATTATCTTAATTTAAGTTACTATGGATTCTTTGAAGAAGCATATACAAAAATTGTATGTAAAAATAATACAAATTATTATCATCAAATCATACCTTCCTGCAATGAGTGATAATTTTTGAATGGAGTTCCATTGCCTCATTCTCTTCAATAATTCTTATGTCATCTACCAAACAACTTTCTTGTCTTTGTAAATCAAATGGGGCTCTCTTTGTTGTCACAGTGTCTTTACTAATAACAGGTGCATCAACAGAACTTGACCCATGAGCAATTCGATAATTTCCAGCCTGTCTGGGTACACAGCATGCAGCGCACATATAATCTTCGGGTTTGTTAAGGAGAGTACACCTGCTACAATGCCAAGGGCCTGGGATTGAAGTTGGTCTAGGTTCGTTGCAAATGTCACACTGGGTGTCTGAACTTGCATTCTTTAAAGTACATTTGACACAGTTCCAAGCTGAAGATTGCTTGTACTGAGTAGATGATTGTTTGTTATTGCTATGCATGTTTGTCACACTGTCGTTTTTCATTTGTATGGGGCTGCGAGGTGGCAGCATCTTGTCAACTCCAATTTTTTTTGCAGTAGCTTTTGGCACAGCACAAGTCTGACATTTCTTTTCCCAGCTTGGATTACAGCTGAAAGAACAGCTAGAGCACTTCCACTCTTCATCAACATCAATAAAGTCTTCACCATTAGGTATATTTGTATTTGATGACACAGTTGATTTGGTGAAAGTGGGTAATTTTTTATTTTCAGAGCTAGCTGTTGAGCGATTAGCCTCTGCCAGTGGTACATTATTTTTAACACTATTATTATTATCATTTTTAGCTTGTGTGTTGCCATCACTTTGAAGAACAAGGTTTAGGTCTGAAGCTGTTGGTAACTGTAAATACCTTTTCGATTCGCACACTGAACATTGGCTCAAGCTGCTGGGATTCCGTAAAGTGCATCTCCTACAACTCCATTCAGAATCTTTTATCATTTCTGATGTATTACTATCAACTTTCTTCACAGTTGTATCATCATCGCAGCCAATGTTAACTTCTAGGCTGATCTCTGGTTTTGACTTTTCATTGCCACTTCCCGTGCCACATTGATCAGTTCTGCCATTTGAAACAATATTTTGCTTATAAGAAGTGGGTGGTGCAGAATTCATCTTTTCTATGCCAGTCAATGGTTTAATAATTATTCAAGGTTATTATTATTGATGTCACAGTCTATATACAGTACATACTTCAAGTTGTAGTAGCATTGTAAATTTATCTTATCCTAAGAATTAATATCTTGGGATGTCTGTCATTCAAATGATTGCCTTCAGTGTAGCCTGAAATTATTCAAGATTACAATTAGGTCTAATAAATATATAACAACTATTAATAATACTAGTGCATATCATTGTCTGTATGAATTAAACAAGATTTTTTATAGAGATAAATAAATAAGAAAGACATTAGAACTAAGCTATACATAATATTTAATAATAATGAGCCTACTACCACGATATAGATTATACTAAAGGCCAGAACTTTGCAACCAATGTGCCACAGCACACTGGTGTGCCACAAGATGAAGCTAGGTGTGCCATGGCAAAATGCTTTTAAAAGGAGGAAAAACAGAGCATATCATGGGCTGTAAAAATGATAAAATCGTGTTTGTGCAATGTGACAACAATTAGCTTCTTCAATACCCAGCTCTCAAGCTTGTCCAGCCACATATCACTGAGTATCTGCAAGTGTAAATTTGGCAGGTTAGATGATCCATAGTAAACAGATAAATTAAAAACAAATGCGTTAAATGAGTGTGGATAATATTCCCAGATGTCATAGTTTTGGAAGCTAGTTATCATGTTGCAAAGACAATCACTTATCAGAGCAAGACAACATTATATTGATAACGTTTAATAAGTTGTTATTCGTGATAATCAATCCATTAATGCTTGGACCAAATATGTTAAAAAAGTCAACAATGTTTTGTGTCACTTTATTTTTATAGGCAATCACAGGTTTTGTTTTTTTTTTTGTTGAGGCGGAATCCATCATAAGAGATAAATGATTCTTTTGCAATGAACTTAAACTCCCTGATAATAAAACATTTTTTGAGCAACATACAATTTCTTCAAAATTTATATGTTTGCACTATTGGTGCAGGTAAACAATGATGGTAAATTAGAGATTATTTGTTAGACCAGTGAAACAATAAAATACATTACAATAGTACAAATTAATGATGCCGAATTCATCACGGATAATAATTAAATGTCACTGTCACTGTTGAATATGATAGTAATAAATAATAATATTTATAATTTATAGTAATAGCAACTACAAGCAACCAAGTCAAGACTTGACTCAAGTCTAATATATTATACAACACTAATCACTAAGACTAAGTCAAAGTCCCTTAGTCTCACTAAGAATAAGTCTAAGTCTAAGAGTTTACTTTACAACACTACCTCAGCCACATCAACTAACTGACTCTAAAGTCTAAAGGTAAATGTCAAAGTCATAATCAACCATATATTAAAACAATGACATGAAATTGATACTGATACTAATATTTTAAAATAGTAGTAGTCTGTAGTAATACTACTTTTACTACTTCCTAGAAATACTAATAGTAATAGTAATAGTAATAGTCATAGTCTAAATAGTCAAATTCAAATACTCTTCTTTTCTTTTACTATTACAGTACCATACAACATAGCTCTAAAAGACAAGACTAGTATTGCTACAAAAATGTAAATATTAGATTAATAAACTAATTAGTATTAGTATTAATTTAATTAGTAAATTATTCTATGGGCCTAGAGTATTGTGAAGTATTGTCAGCAGTACTCAGTTGTGTCAGTAGAGCTAGAACAAAAGAGTCGATACCGTAGCCGTAGCGCTATAGTATAGTCTATAGCCTATAGCTATAAATAAGTATAACACAAGACTAGTAACATGTTCAATAAAAATAAATGGGTATACCCAATTATTACATTAGACATTAGTCATTAGTCAGTAATGTAATGATAATTTTTAGCAATAGCAGGTTGAAATAATCGCAAATTGCCTACCATTATTATTCCGACAAATCGGGTAATATATTCTTGAGTAATATTATTATTATAATTAACCACCCAAGCCCAATGACATGACTCAAGGAAATATTAATTCGATATTCCACCGGGCTTATAATAGTATTAGTATTAATTATATTAATATTATTAGTTTTTGTTACTCTAGTAAAAATCCAAATCCAAGAATAAAAGAAGGGAACTCACTCATCCCTGTGCGTACATTGTCCAAAATGTCAGTTTTAAAGTCATTTATTAATATGACTAATTACCTAGACCTAGAACTAAGTGATAAACTTTAGAATAATTTTAGCAATCATATGCCACCAAAAAAAAATAAAAAAATAATAATAATAATAAGAGGCTACGTTTACGTTGGCAAGAAATGTATCACAACTACAACAGCCCGTGTAGCCAGCTAACAGTAACACAGTTAGTCCAGACAATCCTTACACATTAGCCTTCAAAAGACTGTCGAACTGTCACTCCTTGGCGAATGTTGTTAAATAACAAAATAAATATTTGATAAATTACAGCGTTCCCCCGACTAAACTAGCTTGTTTCGGTGTATGATGAAAAACTTAGGGGAAATCATTATTATAAATTATAAATGATTACGATTTAAATAAATACTTTTTACAAAAAATATTGCTTTTGCAAATAAATTCTCAAAAGCATGTCAAGAGCATAAATACTATGATATGATATAATATACAAGTAAATAACACAGCCGCTGGGTAATTAAAGCTATACCCGAATCCCAATGACAAAATCATTGCATCCCAAATCTGCAGCCACAATACAATGCTGTAAAATATTGGTATGAAAAATTAAAAATGTTATATTTTGTCTCAGTTTATTTAGACTTTTCTATACTTGTTGCATACATTTCCCTAATATTTCTCCACACCCCAGACGCCAAATGGAGGCATAGTAATAATTGTATTTGACTAACTCTGGTGCGCCCCGAATCGTGACTATAGTTTTCTTCCGGGACAATAACACGAATTACTTATTAATAGTTTTTATTGGTTTAATAGCCTAACAAGACGTTCAGTACAACAATTGAGGTTCAGTACTTCCTGTTTTGGATTGTATACGAAGTAAACAAAATAGAAAGCCTTGTCTTGTTTTAAACTGGCGTTTTATTGTTTTTTTTATATATATATGTACCAATCGCATAACTCAAATGAATGAAGAGGCGAAAGCCCACCAAGATGACAAACGTCGTTCATTCGGGGTGGATGACGAAGTCCCCTCCTGAAAGGAGACTGAACAGTGCCTTTAAGATTTTTCGTGCTGTGAGTTCTTACTGTTTTTAATACTTTAAAAGACAAACTTATTTGTGAGTTCGATTGTGGAAAGACTGTAAATGCGTGGGGCTTAATACAAAATAATACAAAATATTGGGTATTGTTTAGATTTTTAGATGTTATAAAATCTACTCAAATGTCTTTGATTTTGATACAAATTTTGTAGGGCCTATCACTATCAGTATCTATCACTATCAGCCTATCAACATCATGGCCTATTGCTATAACTAATTATATTACTATTAAATTATAGTATTATTACTATTATATTGTATTTTGTATTGTAATTGTATACCCTGTAGCAATGTAGGCTGGGGTGAAGGCCTAAAAAGTATAAATATCTTTATAGGTACTTGGGTACACACACAAAAAAAAAAAAAGAAATTCCCCAAAATTATACAAATATATAGAGTCATAGAGCTATATACAGTTATAGGTAGGCCTATAGAGCACATTTCAAATAAAAAAAATGAAACCAGACTCAACTTTCTAGCTTTAGTACTTTTTGAGCTATGTATTTGTAAAGAGCAAGTTTGTTTGATATTTCTTACTATTGACTACATTTCCACATTTTGTGACCCCATTCGGCTGATCACGTTATGCGCAATAATTTCGTTGGGTGGCTAATGGAAATTGTATTGAGTTCTGATTTTTCTGACAACTTTTGGATTTTATGTTTAGTGGAACTTACAATAAAGTCACGGTCATCATCTCGGCTGCAACGAAGATGGCGGCAGCGGGAAATGGTGGCGCATCAAACCAACATTTACTTTCCACATTTCTGCCTTATTTTCCTCACATTTTTTTTTATTTAGAAAGATAATGGTACCAAATTTTAGTAATTGTAGGTGGAAGCAAGATTAAATTAATTTTTTTAATAGTATCGATTTCTGAATATTAAATTCACAAGCTAAATTTAGCATCTGCAGCACAGGCGCAACCCTGATGAACTGTTTTATTCCTAAGTAGATAGCATGTGACGCCAATAGATGGTTTAAAGTACATGATCCCCAAATGGAGATCATGGCAGTTAATGGGTTAGTGCTTGGGTTTGGGTAATTCATGTATTGACATACCCAACTCGCTCTCATGAACCTAGTCTAAGGAACCTAAATAATAATGACTTGGGCCCTAATAAATTAAAAACCATTTCTTAGTTAGTTTTAGCCTTAATGGAAGGCAATGATAAAAAGTTTATTAAGAAAAATAAAAGTGAGTTTTTTGTGAAAACTTATTAATTTTCATCAGATGAGCTTTGGCACTTTGTTTTTTTTTAACTAAGTCAAAAATGTCCTAGTAATTCTCTTCATTCTAGGTAAGAAATAAATTTATATAACAAAAAAAAACAACTCTGATAGGGTTAACTGCTACAGGTAGATGGAGATTTTGTTGCATGTCTTGTAACTGCTGCAGTTATATTTAAACTATTAGTGTGTTAGATTTAACGCTGGAGTATACAAAGCTCATAATTGTTTTCATAATTGCAGTTTTAAACCAATTTTTTGTACTGTGTTAGTTATATAATAGCATATAATATAAAGCATGATTTGAGATTTTGCAACATACTGCTTTAATCTCAAAAAGATATCACTTGTTAATAAACATTAACAGTTTTTAGGTTTCATTATGTGACTAAGTTTTTGAGTTAAAGTATTCAACACTATGGGGAAAAATGTAATTCTGTGTTAGACTGTGATATATTATTATTTCCTGAGAACAATGTTATCAAATTTATATAATTGTTATTTTTGTGTAGACACCATAAATTCACAACTAACAATTTGCTATTTTGTTGAATTCAGGACCTGTTGGCAAACTTTATAAAAATGAAATAAAATGTTTCAAGATTTTAATTTTTTTTTTTAAAAACCTTTCTGGAGCTAACTTTCTGTAAGTTAGCTTAGATTATAAAATGATCTCATGGGGTATTTGGGGATTTGTCAGCGTGCTATATTATATTATAACTCTTTTATTCTTAGTTATAAAATATTACTCTGAATTGATCATATGTGACACCAGCTCAATGAAAGTATAACAAAATACACCACTGAATATGCCATATAGCTATTTACAGCCAGAGTAACTCAAGTGTGATAAACTAATATA